CAAGAGTGTCCTGCAAGTGACCCACAAGAGTGTCCCACAAGAGTGTCCTGCAAGTGACCCACACAAGTGTTCTACAAGAGTGTCCCACAAGAGTGTCCTACAAGAGTGTCCCACAAGAGTGTCCCACAAGAGTGTCCTATAAGAGTGTCCCACAAGAGTGTCCTACAAGAGTGTCCCACAAGAGTTTCCTACAAGAGTGACCCACAAGAGTGTGCTACAAGAGTGTCCTACAGAGTGTCCCGCAAGAGTGTCCTACAAGAGTGTCATTTGGACATATTGGTTTGTCGAATGTGTTTGCATTCGGGTTCGTGGGTTCCATCTTGTTTCTTTTTGAGGTTTCGCACTCCAATCGGCCAATCGGGGTGGGGTTGCGTTCTTCAGTCGCCGCGTCGCCCAATGAGAGGGACAGTCGGTGAATTTGTTCCCGTGGCCGCCCCGACAAGGAGCATCTGGCGCTCAGCCCAATCCATCGAAAGAGGGTGGGGCTCCCCAACGGCCCAGTTGTTGGACGACACTTCCGGTGGCACCGACGGGTGCCTTCTCTTCATTCTACCCACCCATTGATTTCATGGGTTTTGACATGCCCCAAAATTGCACAACCAGCTGTCTTGCGAAGGATTTTAAGGCTACAACACCAGCTATCGAACTCTTTTTATGTTCTTGGAAGGCTGGGAAGGCTACCCACGTAGATGGACACTTGTGGCTTTTGAGGGAGTTCTGGGAGTTTGTTGTGCTTGGCTTTTGGGGCACGAATGAATATGATCTTGGTCCTTCTCTTTTCTGTACAGTACTCTTAATGGGGTTGAACAGATGTGAGGCTCACCGGCTGTTAGTGACCCATGTTCACAACATATTTCTGGAATTCATGGTTCTTCATTCCTGGTAGGTCGGAGTTCCAGAAAAGGACGTTGTTCGTACCAACGAGTCCGACGTCCGTGGGGGTCTCCCCACCAGGTGGGCAACGAGTTCACTTCGTCCGTCCATGGTCCGTGGTCCAACCCGGAACCCGTGGGGAGACCACCGTACCCGTCTCAGGTGCCACGGGAAGTGGGCCTGTGGAAGCCTCAGAGGGCGTGTTCTGAGCCCAACATGGAGGGACTTCCCTGAGTGAAGAGATTGGTTGGATGTGCTATCTCGTCAAGGAGGGAGATGTGTGAAGATGCAGCTACGCGACACAGGCCTTCGGATAGGGTCTAAAACACCTCAGAGAGGGTCTTCCCAGCAGGAGAGGTGAGGCCCATCCTCATCCTCCCCTAGAAAGGCTTCAAGGAGGTTCTCAGGCATTTACTTTCAGCACCTCCTCAGGTTGAAGCTTCCCTGCGAGCACACGTATCACGCCTCGTGTGCGGACGGATGGATGATGCGCGAGGCAGCTCGCGACCGTGTCACCGTCACCCTACGTCACCTTCCTTAAACAGTATCGAAAAGATTATGAACGCATAGAATGCATTGACCCTGCTACACCATCTTTGGAGAGTGTATGAGTGTATTCCAGGACCTTCAGTTCGTGACCTCGAATTGGAGTCTGTTTCAGTGACCTCTTCAGGGACGGACTGTGACCGACCCGCCACTGGGATCTCAAGGATGGTCAAAGACTAAGGTCCTGGTTGATGATAAAGACCTTTCCCCATTCCCTGTCGGTCCAAGAGGGTTTGGAACGGTCTGAGGGTCCAGGGACGGGATGCGGATGGATGCGCGAAGCGGAGCTGGTGCCGATTGGCCCCGGGACCGGTGGCGGAAGAGAATCAGAGGCTTTTGGTGGAGGTTTTTTTCAGGCCGGGCTGCTTACCGTCGCGTGTTTGGCTGGTGTCTCGGCTGTCCTGGGCTTGGCTTGGTAGTGTCTCGCGCAAAAAACAAGAGGTGCCACATGTTCCTGGATTCCTGGGTACATGACCTTGGACTGCAAGCCCGGTTGCCCTTGTGGCTACACTCAGGTGATCTTTCATCTCCAGCAGGGAACCGCGAGTCATCCTGGGTCATTCCCTGGGGGGAAGGCCCAAGGCATCGGTGGCCACTGTCCGTCGAGGTGACCTGTCCGCTGTGCCGGGCGCCCATTGGGAGCCTGAAGCGATGTCAGAGGCGCCGCACCGATGCGGCCGTGTTGGGGACCGGGCGGCGCCGCCGTCGAGCGACACGCGGGGATGCAGGCAGGGCCCCAACAAAAAGGACAGGAGGAGGGAGACGTGGACGAAGGCTGCGAAAGAAGACCGGGGTTTTGGAAGTAGCTTGACTTGGTGAAGGAGATGACAGACATTCTTGACTTGGTCTTTAATTGAGTCCGAACCACGCTCCGTGAAAAGCCACTCCCTCAGGGTTCCCGACTTGGTTTTGGTTCTTCGGGTCTCTGGGCGTCGTTTCTTTCCGGCGTCCCGGCCGCCAGAGCCCCCCGATGAACTCGGAACGTCCGTCGCGTCCGGCGAAGTCCCGTGGTGGCTGCGCGTTTCGGTCTTCCAGGTTTCGAAGGCTCAGAACGGGTGGGTTTTCTGGGCGGGCGGATCCGGGGTGGGCTGATCCTGCGGCGCCGCTAGGATCTGCCTCCGACGTGGCGGCCGCGCCGAAGGCACCCCTCATCCACTGAAAGAGAAGCGGCGATGGGGTGGTTGGGGTGGTTGGGGGTGGTTGTTTCACGTCTATGGTCACCTCAATAGCGGAACAAAAATGGGATCCACAGAGGGACCATGAGGTTGAAAATGGGATCACTCATTTGACCGTGAGGTCACTCAACCTATGGTGGAGCCGAATCCGGAGGGATTGGACCCGGTGTCTGGAGTCGAAGCAATCCCTAAGGTTTTGAGGGACCAAGGGTTGTTTGGAGCCTCGCAAGTCCAAATGGATGGTATGCTTTTCAAGTCGAACACCTATGAAGAAAGGATACTCGCAGCAAAGAGAAGTAGACAGGGTTGTCGTTAAACGAACAACCATTGGTGTCTGAACAATTGTATACTTCTGCGTGAAAACAGCAGAGGAGTTTCCTGTCAGAAAGTAGTGCCGCGGAGGCGGAGAAACGCCAAGCACAGTGGGAGCAGTGTCCATCGAGATAGCGGATGCAGCCAGAGCCACTTGGCACGGTGGGAGGAATATGGAAGAATGGCTTTGCAGGACTGGAGGACTGGCAGAGATCGATGGAACTTCGCGACGGTAAACTCTATACTCTTCAACTGCGGAGACGTCTGGGAGACGTCTGGAAGTCTAGAAACACGACATCGTTTTTCGTATTTTTTTTCCACAAAACCATCGGTTCCAAACATGAGAAGACGATGAAAGGTGGAGACACGACGATGAATTCAATGACACCCAGACCGCTCCGTTCACAGGCCGACCGGTCCCTCAAAACCACAGGGATTGGTGAGAAGGTCCGGACCCCTCCATATGACATGAGGGTACGGCCCCTACTTAGGAGGGTCCATGGGTCCATGAGCTTTTGGGTCATATTTATCATAGATCTATACCAGCACCTGACTTGATTTCAAAGTCTCCGACATGGTGACTGAATTGCAGACTTATGGTGACCTGGCAGTGAGGGTGTTGGTGATCCGAGCCACGAGGTGATTGCTGAACCAAAACGAACCCTTGAACCCTCCACGTTGCACTTATTCCCCTACCCTCTGAACACCCACTCAGCTTCATGGAACTTCTCCCCAGTCCGCATCGCACGGCCGCCGCATCGCGTGTCTTGTCTTAGGTTGACGGCGAGGAAGCGCCCGTTTTGCATGAGCGCTTCGCCCCAGCCAACCACTAGCTGCGATTGGACAATGGCGCAATGAACCATGAGAATAGCCGATTCCTCTTGTCTAGGTCCATTCTCTGGCTGTTCTTCAGTGACTGTTTGGACTTGGCCATTGACCCTTGGTCGCTGGCCGAATTTGACTAGCCCTTTGCCATAGAATCCATGCTTGTGCAAGACTTTCCCGAGTAGGTATTGGTCAAAACACATCGATTCACACGTACTTCCCCATCATGGCCTTATACGATGAAGCAAGAACCGACACCAAAGGATCAGGAACTCGAACTTCTTTCGCGTACTTGTGCCCTTTTTGTCAAAGAATTTACCTCAGAACAGATCACAAGTAAGGAGAAGCAAACTTCTTATTAACAACTCACGGTCCGGGGGGTTCCGCATCCTTCCTGTCGGCTGAAGGAAGGGTGTTTGCTGAAGGAAGGGCCCACAGAGAGGCAAAATAACGACCTGATCTAGTCAAAGGGGTCCTCGTCTTTCCATGGTCGTCCTGAATGTACCTCTACTACGGTGTCTGCAGAGCCCTGGAAAGGGCTGTGGCCCTCGCTGCTTGGCCCAAGCCCCACACACGGGGCGTAACCGTAGCCCTGAACCCAGTCCATATCTCGCAGTTCTGGGACCACTTCAATGACCCAATGAGTGGATGGAACAAAACCCATCGCGACCGGCCGCACGGAGGAGTGGGCGGAAAGAGGTTGACACTCTGCGAGAGCCAAAACGGTCCAAGGGGTTTTTCACCTCACCTCATCCACCCGAAGTCAAAGCATCGTAGAAGCATGCCAAGCACGAAGTCGCCAGACTCCTCATGAGCCAACTCCAACAACTTCGCAACTGGTTTTTCACCCGTAGTTTTTGCCACCTTTTTTCGCCCTTCCCCTTAAGTGTATTTGATACCTCTACAGAGCTCCATCGATCCACCCTCACGGAGCGACGCCATGCGGCGATGGGCGCTGCTCGCTCCGCTGGCGGTCTCGGCCGCGGAGTGCGGTGCGGATGGTCCGGATGGTGCCGTGCTGATGCAGCTCAAAGGGGTCAGGATGGGAGGTGCCAAAGCTGCCTGGGGACGGGGTGGTGAAACATGGTGAAACTCTTGTGTTGGGAGGTCTTGGGCGTGGAAACATGCTTGGGATGGCACACTGAAAAGGCCGTGCCTCAACCGGAGGTGAGAGTCAAGAACTGGAAGGTTTTTCCTCTTCCAGGGAGGGGTGCTGATGGGAAGGACAATATGACCAGCCCTTTTTTTTCCTCGTTTCAGACCTAACTTCCTGGCGGACGCTCACCCATGGCGGATGCATCGATCCCGGCCGGTGGTGGCCGGGATCGCGGGCGCTCCGAACCTTTCGCGCTCGGTTTCGGGGTCAACGTTTCGTTTCTCTTCGACCCGCCCCACAGATCCAGTCCATCCAGTTGATCCGATGTGGAGACGGACGTCCGTCCCGCGCGATGCAGGTGTCGAGACGGTCAATGCAGGGATGAACTTTACGTGCAGCCCCGCGGCTTTTTGAGCGAACGGCGAACGGCGAACGAGTAGCAGGTGCTGGACGTTTCACGCGGACACAGGTTCACAGAGGACGGTGCTTCAGCTTATTCTTTTCAAGAATAGAATAGGGCCCTCATCTACAGCCAGGGCATGTGACTGTCACACCATGCCCTGGCTGTAGTGGAGGTTTGCTTCCGGCTTCATTTGGCAGAACCAACGCCTTCCAAGTGGGCCGAGACTCATTCTGCATAGAAAGAGTGACTTAAACCGACTTGCTAGGCCAACTTTCCGATCTGAGGTGAGACTTGCTCAGTGATTGGAGGTCTCTGCATGGACGATTGCACAGTGCGCCGGACCTCCACAGGACCGATGCCGTGCGACTGCGAGGCAGGGTTGCCGCAAAGCAGTGAGCGTGGTGGGGGGGGAGATTGAGGAGTTGGGTCGTGGCGGGGGATGGGTCCAAACCAGCTCCAAAGGCTGGTAGCTTGAAAATCAGCTGGTAGATGAACCAAGGTCTCCTGGTTTGGATCCTTGGAGATTTTTCATCGCTCTGAACCGCAAGGTGGGCGCTTGGTTGCACGGCCACTCAGAGCTACAGAGGACGGGAGTGGCCAAAGATGGAAGTCGAAGCAAGCACAGCTTGTTTTTTCAGACCAGGACGAGTTTTTTTGCAGAGAAAAGACCATGCGCAAATCGATCTGATCTAGAAGAACGACTTCACACCCAAAAACACGGCCTTTTCCCAAGCCTTTTCCCATGCTTCAAGCAATACTTGCTTGCCAAGCAATTGCGTGGTATTCAGCACTGAGTGACCAGGCCAGACTAGACCTTTTGAGCTTGGATGTTCAACTTAGAAGTGCTAAGTCCGGGTGGGAAGAAATATCGGCATCTCACCCTGCAGAAATTGCGTGCAGAAATTCCGTGCAATGGTGGAACTGGTTGGGGTCCCCTTTCTGAGTCCCAGTGAGACCTCTGAACTCTGAGCTCCGTGCCTTAGTGTGCGATGGTCAGGACGGCCATACAGAACAGCGGCTCGCCCACGGCTCTGCTGCGCCAGACGCCCTTCCTCATGACGCACGACTCAGCGACAGGCTCCGATGCACGCCGCTGACCTGCTGACACCGGAGAAAGGTTAAGAGAGGTGAGGAAGGCATGAAACCTCTAAGCCGAAAGAGGGGAAGGCATGAAAAGTGAGAGAACACCCAGTACTTCGAAGAGTTGGAGTACCTTTCCTGAAAGTTTCGATGCTGAAACCATAGGCCTATAGATATGTTTTGAGGATGAAGTCAATCTCAGTCAACCGCAACTTCCAACCAACAGTTCCACATGGTTCTTGCCCTAAAACCGTTTATCACATCTTCGTTAAGGACCTATAGGATTGGCTCGAAGAACTTGTCTACTCTATAAGTGAAACTAAGTGTTCTTTGCCTTTCAGGGAGCTTTTTTCGTTCAGGTGGGCTACCAAATCTAGCCCATGCCCCTCGTATACCTCTCGGTAAACAAACCATTTGGTCCTGGTCGGTGTCACGGGTCCAGGCCTGATCGGAATGCTGGACGGCCGGAACCTCTTTGCCCAAGCGCAGCGACTCGGAAGGAGGAGGTCGTGGGAACGGTGGGCGACCACCGTGCGGTTGGGAGGTGTATGGGGGTGAAAACCGAGAGGCTACCGGGGGGGCCCGGTGGAGATTTTGGGGGGTTCCGTTCTTTCTTAAGGCATCACCCAAATCCAATGAAATTGACATCAGGCAGATTCTTTTTTGGTCGATGAAGACATGGGAGTCCAGACTTTTCCTCAGTGACGTAATACGGACATTCCCTTTCAGGTCTCCATATACATATAAAGACTATCATCTTTTGATCGTCTTTGATTCTCAGGGTCGACATCAATAGTCGTCACTGTTGTCAGCTTGGAGGGCCGGGCCTGGCGATGCCGTCCTTGCAGCACGGGAGGTCAACCACCTCGAAGCGGTTTAGGTCCCAACTGGCGACCATCCGTGATCAGTTTGCTCTCTTCGCACAGCTCTTTACTTCACGGCACAGGGTCATGAGTTCGCTTCACCCGCATCCGGTTCGACCTGCCTCTTCTCACCGGTTCGACCTGGGCGTGGGCTCTCTCCCTTTTTCTGAGGAGGTTCCGGCAGGCAGCTGGTGGATGCTGGTGGGTGTTTCAGCATTTGTTTTGAAGAGGATTAGTTTCAAGTTCAACATTTCAGGAGGCTTCTGGGTGTTTCCTTTTTAGGATTCGAGAAGAGCACGCGGGTGGTATAGAGTGGTCGATCATGAATTATCACCGGCGTGCGTGGGCAAGTGGGGATTTCCCATGAGTCAACACAGAAGTTCTGGTATACAATGTATACAACTGTGCACAATTGCCTTTTCAGCACAAAAACCAGCCAAGTTTGGCCGTTCTTTTGCAATCCATACGGGTTCTCAGACCGCAGGGGTCAGACCGCAGGGGTTCGGACCATAAAAACCCTTGATATTTGAGGGCCCGGATTCTGAGGGTAGTTAGATCCAGGTCGCTGCGTGCTGTGCCGAGGACCATCGGCTTGTCGGAGCAGCTGACCTGCGGTGCTCGAGCGCTAGATGCGTGGCAAATTTCAGGTGACCCCCTGGAAGTCCAAGACCGTTCTTTTTGAATGGTTGATCTGGCTTTGTAGTGTCAAATCGTAAAACCAAGGGTTGTTCGGTACCCACCCGGCTCTTTGAAGTGGGAGTTTCATGGAGTTTCCACCTCGCCTCTCCACGTGTTGAACCCGTGTTGGGCCAAGGCTCGCACATGTTCGTCCGACGGACCAGCGCGCCGGAGAAACCGGGGACCCCGGGTGTTCGCCGGTTCAAACGCGCACCCATCGAAGCAACCAAAAAAGAAGGCGGCGCTCGGGCGGGCTTCCCGGAACTCGTTGCTCAGGATTTGAGGCTGGTGAGGTCCGAGGATTCCTCAGAGACTTGGCAAAGAAGGTGCGAGACTCGGTGCTTTCGGGACGTGAGGTCCCCCATGAGGTCCCCCATGCGTTCGACCCACGCGAAACCGAACCGCCTGGAGGAGCGCGGTGCGACGATGGCAGGGCTTCGGTCCATCCCTCGGTTCCGAGCGGTGGGCGGGGGCACGAGCGGGGTGGGTCCCTTTTCGCTGCGGACGGTTTGGTTGTTGACGGTGATGCATCTTTGTCTGGTCCGATCGGTTCACCAATCCAAGATATCCAAGGAGATCTACTTCCATCATAGCTCAGAGTCCCTTCATTGGGTCTCGGATCAGTCCCTACAAGGCCGTTGCGACGAAACGCGCGATGCGAAGTCCGCGCGCGGATCGACGATTCGTCTCGTTGTTCTGGCGCTGCGACGTTGGAAAACGGAGATTTTCGCGGCGCTGCGGGCTTCCAAAGGCCTCAAAACTGGTCGATTCGGGTTGAGGAAATCATCGAATTCCTCAACCCAAACGCTCCAAACCGGCCATAACTGGCCTTGCTTCCCCGGGGAACCGGCCTGGGATTGGCAAGAAGGTCCGGACCCCCCGAGTCCAGACTTCGCATCTGGACCAGGCAACAGGATGAAAGGCAGGAAGACTGGAGTGATCTCCATACGCTTGGGACGATGAAGTTCGGACGATGGCTTTTTCACTGGAGAGATACATGCTCAGCAGGACAGATTCGAATAGATATATACTTAAGGGTTTAATGACATATATTTTAGGGTGTACGCGCTACACTGCTATGCCGTGTACGGTATGCCGCGGACTCGCAAGCGGTCAGAGTTATTGAAATATATTTGTACCTATCAGCAGTCGGAGATCTTCCTATGATCTTCCTAGCTGTGGTGGAATCCTGTGTGCTTTGAAGCGCCCTGACGTGCAGCGCATGCGCGCGCCCGTGCAGGGGAGTGGCCGAAGATGATGGCGTGGGCGAAAGAACGTCCTGAAGAGCTCGTGGTTCTAGTGATGAGCCACTGTCAGATGGCGCCGGGCACCTGGGGCTGGAGGAGCTACTTCCAGCGATGGACAGGCTTGGAGTGTTCGAATCCTTTCTACACGGCAGAATTTCAGAAGCTGGGTATTCCATGGCAGGCCGATTGTGAGAGACCTGACCAAATCAGAAGTGTTGAGTATTCTGAAGAAAAGAACAACACATTGATGGGCCAGGCTACAGTTTCAATTGATATGGACAGATGGAGCCCTGAAAAGCAGCAAGATGAGGCCAGTGACCCAGAAGGAGATGTGAGATGTGTGGATAATTCTCTCCTTACCTTAAGATTTGGGACGTGGTCAACCATTCGGTGTTTGGTGAAAGGAAGGAGATTTCCCCGGGGGGGAGACGACTCGCAGCCATGTGCATCACCTGATGCGGCAGCTAAGGAGGGTCTCTGCCATGACCCATGCAGAGGCCAAACAGATGAGCCGTTTAAAGTCGGGTGGACACATCCTAGCCGTGGACGGCGCTTGTATCGCCTCCAACTGGGATTCATCTGTGAATGAAGGAGCAAGAACCTCGTCCGCGCATGTCTGCCTCAGATAATTTTTTTTTTTTCGTTGTTTTTGTTTGCTTCCATCCCAAAGGCTAGTGGCTTGGATTTTCTAGACAGCCCACAAAATGGTTGACAGGCACGGTGGTAGCTGCTAACGAGCCAGCATCGGTACTCGTAGCTAGGAAGCTAGCTAGTTTCCAACCTTTGCAGCTGAGTAAGAAGCTGAGTAAGAAGGAGGTAAAAGGAACAGGAGTGATATGTACCAAACACTTCCCAAGGGGTGTCCCATGAAGATCTGCCATTTCGTCGTGCAGTCTGAGGAGTGAGACCCTATGTGGAAAGGACGATGTCGAAGATGCGAAATTCAGCCAAGATGCCCTTCATGGTCCAATCCTTCATTCAGCAAAGATTGACAGTTCCAATGAGCACTCCGCTGAACCAGCAGGTCCTGTCAGAGATCACCACTTCTGATCTCTATGCTGGGGTCAACTTTCTGGAGATCAACTTGATTTGTGCATATGGGACCTCAATGGCGATTGCCCTGGGTTACACCACGATTTCTTCACAAGACTTCCAGTCATGTCGGAGCTCCTGCCGTTTGGCGTGCAAAAGGCATGGAGCTTGCGAACAGTTGTGAAGAGCGGTGAATGCCGCTTGCGGACGCCACTAAGAGTTGGAGTCCAACAGTTGGAGTGCACGTTTTGCTTGGCACATAAGCTGTCACAAGCACACACGCAAATCGACAAATCGTTAATAAGACATACGCTTTGCTACTACTGCTTTTCTGCAGATCCAGATTGGCTTCCATCCAGTACCTGAGATAGCATGTGGATTCACTAAGAAACCTTTTGCCGGAGGACATGAAGTCACTAGCGACAGTAACTGTTTTGCTTGCTGCAGAGAATCTGTCAAAATTTGAACCTTTGAGTGGGATCTGTCCTGTCCGAATTGGCTGCGGACCTGCCACGGTCTGGCTGCCAAGCACATGGTTTGGGATGACCATCCAGGTTCGAGTCTACCAAGCCGTTAAGGCTCTATGCCTTGGGCATGGCGGGTTGTAGCATCTTCATGTATCAACGATTTTTTCATCCGTCCTTTCCCAGGTCTCTTGAGAGAGACCTCGCGATGGCGAGTGGTATCGGTTCGTGGGAGTTCTGTCCAAAACGCTGTGGCCTTCAGTGGTTCAATCGAGCTGTTGCTACTTTCTAAGCCCGGATGGTTCGTGGGGTTCACGAACCATCCGAATCCTCTGCATTGGAGGATTGGACCCGATTCCGGAGCCTGGGCTCTCCGAAAGTGTGGAGGGACCGGGAAAGGCCTGGGAACTCACGGAGCGTTGTCGCGTCCCGACCGAGCGACCCGCGGTGCGGCGTGGAGAAAACAGCGCCTTTCGGATCCGGGGCGAAAGAGCACTGCACCCGCACGGAGGGCCATCCACAGGATGCCCGGGCGGTGGTGGATGTGGAATCCCACAGGATAGGGGTTCGAGTTCTCTCGGAGCTTCCGGCACGAAGATCGCTCGGAACACCCGAGGACGTGGCTGCGCCACCCGAAATTGATACCCGGGAAGAGAGCCACATGGAACCTGAAAACGGACCTTCGGAAGACTTATTATCCAGGTTCCATGTGAATTTTCCAGGTGTAGTTCGTTACTTGCAAGTAGGGAATAGCTGTATTGCCCCTTGCCTGGAAGTCCAAGAGCATCTTTTAAATGGTTGATCAGGTTTTGCAGTGGTAAATCCTAAGTAAAATCATGTAACATCATGGCTGTTGAGACTCTTATATGAATCAATGTTGGTTCGACTTCTAGGCCCTTCTAGGTGAGCATGACCAAATGGGACTGTCATCGACTTGGTTTTCGTAGGTGATCAGAGTCGATCAAGGTTCCAGAGGAGTCTTGGTGTGTTGGGTGGAGGGGGGTGAAGATTTATGAAGTAGAGATGCGTGTGACTTTCTCTACCCACCTTCTGAGTAGAGAACGACCTTTATGACCTTGGTTGGTTGATGTATGGGTAAGGGGATACCCCCGGTCGTGAAGAACCAAAAGCTGTATGGTATGCCATGGACTCTACAGCGGACATTCGGAGGGCCCTGCACGGAAAAAGAAGGGAGGAGAGATGGGCTGTTCGGAACTCGACACAAGCCTTTAGCATGAGTACCAACACGAACCCACCAACCAACCAACCAACCCACCCACCCACCAACCAACCAACCCACCGACCAACCCACCGACGAACCCACCAACCCACCAACCAGCCAGCCAGCCAACCAACCAACCAACCCTGGGGATCGAGATTAGGCTAGACCTTCTCCTTCCTAGCCTCTGCACTGTTCCTACATCTCAAGCTTTGTCATGCTGCCGAGGCGTCCTCCGCAAGTGCTAGGCACCGCGACACGATCTCAAGAGTAGCATGGGGATTTCTGGGTGCACTCCCGATGGCTGTTTAGAACATGATCCGGTGACTTTGAACCCAAAAAGACTGTTTGGAATGGCTGTTCCACCATGGCAATGAGGATTCACATACACTTGTTGCTGGATTCTCAATGGAAAATGGAAGCACTGGCTACAGGCTACAGGAAAAAAATATGAACAGTAATGTCTTTATTTTGATGAGTGACTAGACAAGGAATTGATTTTTCCCCACACAATTGTGTGGGGTTCTTACCTTTACGCCGGGCCTGCGACGCCTCCTCTCCTTCTTCCTCACTCCTTCCTCACTCCTTCTCACTCCTTACTCAACTCACCTCACCTCACCTCACCTCACTTCCCTCACTCAATCCTTCCATCCCTCCATCCCTCCATCCCTCCATCCATCACCTCGCTGACTCCTTCACTCACTTTCACCAAAGAACAGCGTTTCTCTGCGGTTTTGCGACACGCGCCTTGGCTGCCCGTTGACGGCTGCCTTGGCCACCCGTTGCAACTCGTGCATCCGGGAGCGCTCCACCCAGATGGACATACTCTTCTCGCAACTTCACATGGTTCATGAAGGATATATTTCTAGACCCCCAAATAGGTGAAACCCAGTGTAAAACCCTTAGGCAAGGTGACGTGGTTCTTTTTAAAAGGATGTTTTTTCTGGTCCTTTAATCTGGTCTCACACCGCACTTGGAGAGTTGACCCGCACCGAACCCTGTATCATCTGCACCGTCCGGGTGCTGATTCCTCCACGGCGGACGTCATGTGGTTGCGACCGTCAGCTGAAAAGCATCCAAGCCTTCCGTTCAAACCATTCAAAGAGCTCGCTTGACCTGGTGCCGTACTCAACAACTTTTTGGTAACACAATGGTTGTTCGGTCGAGGTTGGAATGCTCGGGGATGTCTAGTTTCTTTTGAACTTAACGTATCTGGGCAAACTCAAAGTTTCACCCACCCCAAGCTGAAACCGTCATTTGCTTGTGTGTTTGAACCAAAAAGACATGCTTGTGGTATGTCTGTAGTAGTTTACATGGACCAATCAATCTTCGAAGAATCCTGGCTCCACTGCATCGCCGCGCTTGCCGAACGTGCCGCTGGTCAGCAGGTCATCCGGCGGATGAGGTGCGCGATGCCGCGAGCGCGGCTGCGCAGCCGCGTGCGGCGAAGAGTTTTCATGTCAGTCCACGGGTGTGTGTGCGAACAATGTGCGACATCAAAACACATCGAGTCAGGTTCTTGGATGTCTTGGTTCGTTGTTTTTCTCATGTTTTTAAAAACAACGGGCGGTCAGACAATTTCTTTTTTTGCAGGTGTCACAGAATACTTCACCACATGTTCCTCAGTAGTCGTGTTGGAGTATCAGATTGCCAAAAAGCAAAGAGAGGTTTCTTCCTGACACTTGTTGTGAGCATGTCCCAGCATCCCAATGAACCTTTTCACAAAACCACCTACAATCAATACCGCACCTACAACCTGTGGTAGCTTTCCTGGGGGTCACCAGATCAGATCCTTTTCTGCTGACTAACGTGTGAATCCCAGAAATTCCATCCTGGAGACAGAGTATTTTGGTCATCAGATTCGGCTAATTCTCTCAAACAGCGAAAAAGACCCACTTCTATCCACTCCTCCAGGGCTGTTCGATCGACGAGTTTTGGCCACTGACGCCTTGGGAGTCACCGACCTTGCATTCAAAGACCTGATTTCTCACCCAGGCATCGTTCACTCCAGGTGTCCGGCAAAACCCAATCACAACTCACCAACGGTCGGATGCCTCGATGTCCGCACAAGAAGCTTTTTGTCTATCAATGTGCAGTGTAGATGGTCAAAACAGTGTTCTTAATCTTTTCAGGTCAAAACGACCAATCGAATCTTGCAAAAGAACTTTCTTTCAATGGCTGTCACATCCATCTTTTTTCCCCACAGGTGATACTCGACCGATCCGACCAAGAAAACACCATGTTGGGTCTTGTAGAGCTGTCTGTCCGACAGAAAACCTGGAAGGAGCTGTCGGTCAACAAGAACACTATGTTTAGAGATGGACCGGCCTGCAACTGAACCATTATCATCCACTGGGTCCTGGAAGGTTAGGATAGACCCGAGGTGTTGGTTTTTGCTTTTGCCAGCTGGGAAGCAGTTGGTAGACCGAAAGACGACTTTCCTTGACAATTCAAGTGGCGTTTCTACTTCCATGTTAGTGAGTCAGGGTATATGAATATTTCTACATATTGCCTTGTGGCTTGTGATGAAGCTCCAACCCAACCCCCACGCACTGCCCACCGCACGCAGCCTTAAGCGCCCGGGCAGGTTGCTTCGGACGGTTGGCCGGAAGTGTCAGTCTGATGTAAAGAGAGTTCGACCCGTCCAAACAAGCCGCTGGATGGAAGCTCCGGATTGCTCCAGTCACGCAGAGAAAAGGATCCACTTCAGATTCTGCCATTGTGCAAACCTTCAGAGGGCCCAGCTACCAGAGGAAGATGGCCGACTTTGGCAAGAAATGGTGCCTCATCCGATCTCATCCCAAATGCATAGGAACCACGACCATCCCACGCCATACTTACTTCCACACTGCCATAGCCTTCGATGATCCCATGGCCTTCCCTTATCGCTTTTCGCATTGCATCGCTGTGGGCCGGCTTTAGCCGAAAACAGAGGTGGTTGTTGGAAGAAGCACCCGGTGGTTGCCCCGGTGGTTGGAACCCCAAGACCTTCCTCTCGACCTACCAGGCATCCACACTCGACCTGTGTTTTGAGCGAGGGGTCTGCTGGGTCGAAGCCAAGGAATCCACCCCCCCGGTCGGAGAAAACGGATTCAGAAGGGAGGGTCTGACAGGTGGATTTCCCGGTCGACGCACTTCTACTGAAAAATGGAGGCAGAAGTCGAACTGGACTTCTAGGACCTTTGTCAAGCCTTTTGTCACGCGTGACTTTTGATCCAGATATTATCAAGGGCTTTGCAACAGCATTGACCCCCTTAAAGATGGGGCCTGTCCTTCTGCTGCGCCTGCGCGACTCCTCCTATGCTCCCTAATCAAAGAGTTGCGATATCTGCATAACTGTCACGGAACGAGCATTCTTCGGCCCAGAGAGGTTTTGTTGGTTTGTTGTTCTTTCCTCTGATGCGTTTTTCAAAGCTGTCTTCTCACCAAAAGGCCGATTTCGGCATGTGGATGTCCGCAGCCGCTGCGCCTCGCGATAATTCGCTTTCTCTCGTGGCCAGC